TACTCTTAGTTAAACTTAGTAACTCTATTATAGTAAATTAAAGCTTAGATAATTACTAGAAGTTCTATAGTAATAATAGCTAATAAAACTAATAGTAAAACTAAGATATAAAGATTATACTTACTACTATTAAGAGCGCTAGCTAAGTTATATCTTTTAAGAGACTTACTAGCACTATACTTATAGTAAGAACTAATATATTAAGTTACTACTATTAGAATAGAACACTAAAGTTACTATATTACTAGTAACTTATACTTACCTTATAATAGATCTCTATTATATTATACTATTATTTACGTATATATAATACTTTATTAACTATTCTACTAATTATAGCTAATATAAGTATACGCGTAATATAATAAATATATATAATAAATATAATTAAGGCTATAATTAGCGTAATATAGAAATAAAAATAATATAAGTATTAATATTTAGTCTATAGAAGCTTTCGCGAAGTAGGTAGAATTTATATAATAGTTTTTCTTTATATTTTCTTTATTTTTTCTAATTAAAGAGTAGTTTAAGTATTAGAACTTACTCTCTTTTTAGAAAGAAGTAGTGTTATAGATTAAATCTATAACTCTACCTAATTAGGTCTAGTTATACTAAGTAAGAAATACTAAAGTTCTATCTATATAGATTTCTTAACCTATATATAATCTCTTACTTAGTACTTAACTTAATATAATTATCTTAACTATTAATATCTCTTATATACTTATCTAGGCTTTTACCTAGTATACTCTTCTATAAATAGACTAGTATTAGTTTAGATAGTAAGATAAAGGTTTCTATTATATACCTCTTTTTAGAGAGACTTTATAGAAAAGATAATATATTACTAGTCTAGACTAAGATCTATATATCTACTAGAATACTAGCGTAATAGCTATAAGTAGTCTATCTTAAAATATAAACTAAGAAGTCTAATATCTAAATAAGTATTTAGGTATTAAGTCTAAGTACGTAATAAAAGTAAATAAAGGTAGAAATTTATAAAAGTACACTATTAACTAATTCTAATATCTTTAGAAGAATTTAAGTAAGAGTATAGCTATTAGAATCTAAAAGATAGTAAACTATGCTTAAATAGAGTAAAGCTAGAGAAAACTCTAGTAGAGGCTCGTAGTAGTTCTAACGTGCAAATTAATTGTTAAATTTAGGTATAGAGGCAAAAGACTAATTAAACTATCTAGTAGCTAGTTTCTGCTAAAGTTTCTCTTAGAATAGTAGTAACGTATTTAGTTTTATAAGGTAAAGCAAATAATTAGAGGCCTAGAGGCTAAAACAGCCTTTACCTATTCTTAAACTTTAAATATATAAGAAGTCCTTATTACTTAATTAAACGTAGACAGTTAAATAAAATATTATTAGTAGGCTATTTTTAGTAAGTAGAACTAGCGATATAGAATAAACTAAATAGAGGGTTAAAGTGCTAGAATACACGCTTATTAGACACTACAAAAGGTGTTAGTTTATCTAGACAGTAGAATAGTAGCTATAGAAGTTAGAATCTACTAAGAAATATATAATAACTTACCTACTAAATAAACTAGCTCTAAAAATAGATAGCGCTTAAGCGTATTACTTATTTCTTATAAAGTAAAGTTTTATATCTAAATAACTTAGAAGGTAAGTTTAAAAGCTAATTACTTAAGTTTATAAAGTATAATTAGCTATTTTAAATAATATAATTATAGTATATTAGTATTTTATAAAGTAATATAGTAAACTAATATAATACTTTTAGTATTATATTTCTATAAGTAAAGCTAATAGATATTAAAATCTTATATAGCTTTACTTTTAGTAGTAGTATAATATAATATATTAAATTTACTTACTATATATACTATAAGAGAAAATATTTATTATAGTAGAATATTAATATAAAGTAGAGTATTATAGTAAAGTATTAATATAGAGTAGAGTAATAAAATATAGTTAGTAACTTTATATAGTAATCTTAATATAGATATATTTTCTAAATATCTTATACTTACTATATATAGCTATAATAATTAATAAAACTCTTTCTATAACGTTTACTATAGATATAGATAGTAATAATTTACTAATAGTAGGTAATAGTAATACTATAGAGGCTTTTCTAGTAGACTTAGAGGTAGACTTAAAAGTAGACTTAGAAGTAGTAATAGATAAGCTATAAAGCTATAGAAATATTAAAAGATTTTTAAAAGTTAATATAGAAGCTTTCTAAAAGAAAGCTCTTAGTAGAAAAAGTAAAAGTTTTTCTTTTAGCTATAGAAGTAGATAGGTAAAAGTTTAGATAGTATAGATAAACTCTAGATCTAGAGTAATATTAAATTATAGTACTATACTACTATAAAATATAAATAATATTTACGTAGATAAACTATAGTATAGAGAATAGTAGTCTAGAGAAAGTTATATAAACTTTATATATAGAAAATACTTTTTTTTTCTATCTAATAACTTTCTATTTTAAAGAACTTTCTTATATCTTAAAAAAATCTAAATATCTAAACTAAATATCTAGCTAAATACTTAGCTAAATACCTAAATATAACTTCTAAGCTTAATACTAATACTAATATTATCTTAAAGATATTAACCTTTACTTTTCTCTCTATATCTACTATCTAGATAGGTACTTCTAACTCTTTAGTACCTAGCTTAGATAATAGTTACTTAGTACTACTAATAGACTTAGTCTTTTATAAAGTTAGTATTACTAATACTAATATAACTTTTAATACTTTATACTTCTAAGTATAGATATATAAAGATAATTTTAAAAATATAGTAGTAATATTTATAGATATTATTCTACTAAAAGAATTTAATCTAAAGAATAAAATACTATATATTTATTTTTATATAGATATACTTTATATTATTAAGCTATTCTAGATAAATATACTATTTATATACTATACTATAGAAAAAAAAAAAGCTTTTACTTAGAAGAAATTTAAGTATTAGAAAAGAGTAGATATAATATATAATATAATAATAGTACTAGTATAGATAGTAGTAAAAAGATAGATATAGTTAAATAAACTCTATCTCTAGACTTTACTCTAGAAGTTAGAGACGCTTAGAATTATTAAAAAAATAAAAAATAAACTATAGATATAAGTATAGTAGTAATAGAGCTAGTAAGCTAAGAAATAGTAGTTATAGATACTTTAGAATAATCTAAGTATTATTATAAAGTTTAGACTACTACTATAAAAGAGCTAGAAACTTATTAGTATAGATAGAAAATAAGTAGATCGATAATAGTAAATATAAATAGTAAGTAGTAGTTATATAATATAGTTAGAGTTATTAGAGCTTATAGATAATTATATATAAAATATAAGCTACTAGTAATATTATAGATATTATATAGATATATTAGATTAGTTTAAAGACTTTATACTAGTATAGCTAAACTTACTTAGTTTCTTTTTAGTATTATATAATTATATAAAGCTAGTGCTAGTACTAGTTAATAGTCTAGATAGCTATTAGTAATATATAATAAATATAAAGTAGTTAGCTTATTATAATTATATATATAGTAATTATTATAAAGATAGTATAGATATAAGTATTATAATTTATAAATCTAAGCTTATATTAGAGATTTTTTAAGTTTACTATTAGATAATATAGTAATATATTATTATATAATTATATAATTATTTAATTTTAAAAAAAGTACGCTATAGACCTTATCTCTTAGACCTAGAGAGAGATAAATAAAGTAGAGTATAAGATATTTATAATACTAAGTAGAAGTAAAAGAATTAAAATAAAAGTAATATAATAAGTATATATTATATAGTATAAAGTATATAGCTAATAAAAGCTTATACTAGCTAGCTTATAGATAAGCTATAAAACTTTTACTAAAAAGTTAGTATCTTAAACTAGAAGTTAAAAATTATAGTACTATATATAAAGCTATAGTATAATTTTACTCTTATACTAAAGTAAATTCTATACTTTAGAAAGTTAATAAATTTAGAGATCTATAATAAAGATTTAATAGTAACTTTAGCTTTTCTATATTTTAGTATATATTCTATTTTTAGTATTAATCTTAGTAATAATTTAAGTATATTTATAATAAATTTATTAAAAAATATTTACTTTTAGATTTATTTAAAAGCTTCTATTCTTTTAATAGATATCTTAGAACTATACTTTACTACTATATATTAGATAGACCTATCTTACGTACCTTATCTACGCGCTTACGCGCATTAGGTAATGCTATGCAACTGTCTTATTCCCGGAGACGCTAAAGGTTAACAGGCTTACGAAAACCAACTCGTTCTGCACGTCCCAGATTTCTATTCACCAGCATCCCCCACGGTATTAAACGTCTTTCTTCGCCCGTAGTTAGTCTTTATCGCGATTACCCTGCACAAATGGCCAGTCAACGCGTCGACGCGAAGGAGGTTGCAGACTTGAACACTGTCATGGGTCGCAACCTTCAGACATGGCCTGGCGCGCGCGACATTGGGATACAAGAAGCCACCCTGAATGCTGAAGCTCGCCATCAAGATGCACAGCACACACACGACAAGCCAAGCCAGCCTGCTCTCGCCCGCGTACTTTCGCGTCGATCGGCAGCTTCATTCGACCCAGGCCCCGCTCCCGATGGTGGCCTCACAGCTTGGACCCAAGTCCTATGCACGCACCTAACTATCCTGACCACCTTTGGCTTCTTCACGTCATTCGGCGTGTATCAGACCTACTACGAAAACACACTCGGCATAGCTTCCTCGACCATTTCCTGGATTGGATCGCTTCAGGTATTCCTTCTCTTCTTCCTTGGCACTTTTACAGGCCGTGCTACGGACGCTGGACTTTTTCGCCCGGTCTACATCGCTGGTGCGTGCTTTCAGCTACTCGGTATCTTTACCTTAGCGGAGAGCAAAAGTGTTTGGCATGTCTTTCTCTCTCAGGGCGTATGTCTGGGAATTGCAAATGGGTTGCAATTCTGTCCGTCCATGGCCCTTGTCTCCACTTACTTTGTCAAGCGTCGTGCTTTTGCGCTGGGCTTCACAGCGCTGGGGTCCTGCACTGGGGGCGTCATTTTCCCGGTTATCGTGCAGCAATGTCTACCCAGCTTAGGCTTTCCATGGACGATACGCATCATCGGCTTTATCATGTTGCTCATGAATGCCATCACCATCGGCTTGTACCGTACCCGGCTCCCTCCCAGGAAAAGCGGTCCATTGGTCGACTGGGCGAGCTTCACAGAACTGCCATATGCTCTGTACTGTGCTGGTGCCTTTTTCAGTTTCTGGGGGTTGTATTTCGCTTTCTTCTACATTGGAAGTTATGCGCGAAATGTTCTTGGTGCCAGTTACCAGCAAAGTATCAATCTGCTTCTCGTGCAAGTATGCATGGGGTTTATCTTTCGCCTACTGCCGACCTACTATGCCGACAAGGTTGGTGGGCTTAATGTTCTTATACCGTTCGCGTTTGTCTGTGGTATCATGATGTTCGTATGGATTAGAATCAACTCCATCGTCACCCTGTACATATTTGCTGTCATATATGGAAGCGGGAGCGCCGTTATCCAGGCGCTTTGGCCTGCGGTAATCGGAAGTATGAGTCAGGAGAGAGATCTGAAGAAGTCTGGGGTGAGGATGGGCATGGCCTTCACCGTGGTGAGTATATCGAGTTTTACAGGTCCGCCACTAGCTGGAGCGATTATCCAGAGTCACAATGGCAACTACACGTATGCGAATGTTTGGGCGGGTCTGTCTTTCTTTGTAGGAGGGTTTCTTTTACTTGCTACTAGGGTGTCGCTGGTAGGCTGGGACTGGAAGGCAAAAGTCTAGAGGTAGCTTGCATTGAGCGTTCCTTGGCCTACCTTTCGTGCGTTGCCGCGATGTGTTCAGGATGACTAGGATTGGGGGGGGGGGGTACAAGGGAACATGTTCCGTGCGATCTATGGGAAGATCATGACTTGCGACGTTCTTGCACTATCCTTCCTATTTATCCTTGAGCGTAGTGACCCTTGCTAATAGGCCGGGGTCTTCTCTCTCTTTGTCCATCTTGGCATGCCAATCCGCCTCGGCCTTGGCTGCATTTTTGCGAACCCGCGCAGTGTTCCACTTCATATAATAACAGCAAAGCGGGAAGAAGATTGAGTCTACCACAGCCCAGGCAGATAAGATTCCAAAGTTCAAGCCAACTCGTGGATGCAGATCGAACAGGATTGACCGTGTGAGCTCGACGATATTGTGCATCGGCCAACCATAGCCCCAGCGATAAAAGCTCGGTGCAAGCTCGAGGGCATAAAACCCAGTGGCGACATTGCTGATGACCCAGAAAATGAGCCACAACGCTGTCCAAGGGGAGCCCAGCAGCATGGCCATATTCTCGCTCGCAAGGCCAAAAGCAATCATTCCGATCCAATTGCCCATCCAGTATACCAAGAAGGTACCTCTGCCATACGCGTTAGGGTTACCGGCAGGCTGATTGTGGGAGGCAGTAGGACGGTCCATGGGCATAAGGTAGGCGAGGCTGACAAAGGAGTAGACGAGAGAGAGAAAGAAGTAAGATGCGACCGTCGCGATGTAGCGCCACACGATAAGCTGATAGAAGTGCAGCGGTGGATGACCTTTGGGCGAGAGGTACTTCAGATGGATAGGTAGGAAGAACGTAAAGCTAAAGAAGGAGATGATAACTAGATAGCGGTGTAAGATATTAGTATATGTCACATGCGGTTCGTACAGGAACATTGCTCACTCAGGTATATAAGGCCAATGCTAACCGCGGGTGTAGCAATAGGCGGTCCAAAGGGGCGCAAGTCGTTGACGGTGAACTCAATGCCGGGAGAGAGAGCTTGGGGTGCGATGTCTAGGCGCATGTCCGTAACTGAAACGTTGTTCTGGAGAAGATGTGCGATCCACGCGCGGCCAAATTCGGTGACTACGCGCTTCTGGAGGGTGTTAATACTGGGTACAATGTAAGTCGAGGTGGTAATTTGATCGCGCGCCGAATTATAGATGATCTGGCAGGCACCCAAGGGATCGTAGCTCGCGTTCCCCAGTTTCACTGCGGCATCGAGCATTGCTGTGGCGTTGGAATTGATGATGACGGCCGCCCAGGCATGGAAGTCGTAAACTTCGTTGCGTACGTTCAGCGAGTTGTTGTTGAAGTCTTCGGGAGACGCAAAGGTGTAGCCAGGCACCACTCCATCTTCCTCCATAATGCTGCGAACAGTGCGAGTGACAAACGGACCCACGAAGGGTGCGACCCCGGTAAACGGTGGCTGGCCATCGAAGTCTACAACGGAGATGTTCAGACCCCCCACGTTTGCATTTTGACGAAACAGTGCACCCCAGAAAAGGCAAAGAAAGGCCATGATGGCAATGGCGAGAATGAGATTTGTACGAAGCCAGAGCCTGATCACGTGTAGCCTGACACCGGCCATGGACGAGTGAAAGAACCCGACAGGCGCCTGTTCTTGCACGATCCTGCGGCTACTCTTTGTGCGGCCACGCTGCAGCGTTGTTAGCCTATTGGGAGCGGCGGTGGTGCCATGCACCGTCTCAGTCTTGACACCCGTGGTCTGCTGCTCCAGAGGAGTAGAGCTGGCGGCGGCGGAAGCTTGTATTCCCAGCTCGGACTCGCTAGATGAGCTGAAATCGTATTCGTGATGATATCGTGGGGCGATCTGACATCCAAGTGTGGAATGAGACATGTTGGGCGCTATGATTGATGACCTACTGGACATTTTCACTGCTTATATTTCCTGAGGCCCTGACACTTAGTGCTTGCTGTGGGTTGCTGACGGATGTACGCTAAAGTGACGCTAGTTCATTTGCAGTGAGATGATTCGACGGTTCCGTCTCCAGTGAACGCTACCTACCTATGTAGTTACCTACCTACCTAAGTAGATAAGCTTCACTCCCGAGGTCTTGAGTTACGGCCGATGTGGCTGATGCCAAAATCATTGCTCAGCATTCTAGGTAAACTGATTCGAGCTATTTGAACGGTTCAGTAGAGTTTCCGCCTGTGAGCCCAACGATCAGAGCTGCGCGTGTGGTTCCCAGATGGTACGAAACCCGAAATCGGTATAGCTTGGTGGCTGACATAAGCCCGGGAGAATCCAGGAACCACCTGAGCACGGATCCGCTCAATCGCGCCGCATGCCAACCGCTCAACTCTCATCATGACGGACGCGGACACCTGTGGCTTCAATTACTGCCTTTGCGGGGAATCGGGCCTTCGGTGCATCGCTTCAGACCCATCTACAGAATAGGCATGTCGGGCAGGGGGCGCAGAGGCGGTCGCAGCGCTAGAGGTGGCAGAGGACGAGGCAGAGGCAAGACGCGAACAGTATGCTACCGCCAAATCGCGAGACAATCGTGAGACAATCGCCACAACCAAACACTACTAAAATATGCGCAGTGGGAGTGGGAAGCATACACGCCTGGCGCCGAGGTGTACGACCAGTTATGGCGCATTCGCAAGGAGCCTGCCACTGTCACCGCACGACTACCTAACGTCTGCCCTATGTCGAACGCACGAACGCGAATACTCCATCGCCGACAGACCGAGGACCGCTTCAAGCGGGAGCTATACACCGTAGAGGTCACATATACGGGCGGACCGGGGAGTGCACGGGACGGTATTGCCCTTACACAGCTTGAGGATGTGGACCTGCAACGCATACTGCAGTTCGTTTCTCCAGCTGAACTGGAACGATATGAAACTGAGCAGTTCAGGCTCGAGGCAGAGGCAGAGGCCATTGCTATGCGCACCGACGCCGAAGACCTGGCGCGTCGCCAACTGCGAAAGAATGCCAAAGGGCCAAACGCCAGCAAAGGGAGCCGCATGCTCAGCGCACTCGCCTTCTCTGTAGAGCCGACCCCACGTTCACGGGGTCGACCGAGAGCCACACGCGGAAAATGCAGGGGAAGGGCGAGAGGTGTAGAGCCAACAAGAGGCCTCGTCGTAAGCTCCCGACAGCTCAAGAACGACATGCACGAGCAGCTGGTAGACAGCGAACCTATGGTGTTCGATCGCACAACCGAACACATCGGACAACCCACGCAGACATCGCCCAACACCACACGCTCGGCTTTTGTCGCCAACAGCGCTCTTTCGGTATCACCAATACCCAGGAGAGTATCCATCTCTGTCCCTCGACGGGAACTTTCAGAAGTTTCTGAACCTTCCGAACCAGAAGATGTGGACTACTTAGCGCTCAGCGACCATGATGCAAAATCTACAAGAGGCGACTTACCATCGCTCGCAATCGAGGTTGGGAATGCGGGCAGCAGTAAAGATCGTCCGTTCTCTAGCCCATCCGGGATCGAGAGCACTCTTCCATGTCAACTTCACCCCATCATACCCGCTTTTTCACCGTCTGCTGATAACGTGCTCCAAGAAGCTCCAACGGCAGCTCCATTTTCCGCGCGAGACTCTGGCTCCCCAGCTCCATTGGATTCCAGAGTGGCGGACGTCCTTCTGCAGACAGCGTCTTCCTCTAATTATTCAGCGCTTGTTGCATCAGACCAAGACGACATAATACCCCCACAACCCGCTTCGCCGCAATTTGAATCGGACGGATACGTCGGCAGCCGAATAACATCTATGCGCACATTGTATCCGGGACAACAGTCGCTCGAACACAACAACGAAGACGATGCAGAAGCGGATGCAACGGAAGAGTTTGCTGTAGAGGCCATCGTAGCGCATTTTCACGAGCACGAGAAGGACTACTACCTCGTCAAGTGGGAGGGATACGAAGACAGCCATGATTGGCTTCCTGAAGAAGATCTTGAGGGCGCTGCAGACCTGGTCACTGAATACAAGGAGCGGATTGGATGGAGGAACAAGAAAGTCGAAATAAGATGACATGATGTAACGAATGGGTTGAATGTAGATATGGGCTTCAATCTCTTAGTTCGTCGTCAGAAGACCAGGCATGTTGCCATGTCCCAATGCCTCATCTGCACCGTATCCATGTGCCTGCATCAGACGTTTCGAATTCCATCCACAGGGCCAGTTGAAAGAAGAGTGCGTCTCGAACAGACCCGTGTGTTGATTTGCTTACGTATATTGACTTACCTCCCTTGCTTGTTTCAGATCTGATGATGTCGTCGCAGGATAATGTGGTTCGTGGGGCAACAAAGCTCGTCCCGGTGAACTCGTCAACATTGTAAGTTTGCCACACTGCACACCAACAAGATCGTCCCACCGCGTCATGCTCCTCATCTTCAAGTACTAGTTCCAGGTTCCCATGACGCCCAGGTGAACTCCGAGATGCTCCAAGGATTAGACGTGACGCGAATTGATCGCGCCACACTGCAATGGTCCGCTAGAACCCTGCTCCCGAGGTCTGAAGCATATTGATGATCAAGGCCTTAACAGGCTTCTACGGTAACATAGCAGACTAGGGTGTAAGTTGGTGTATACATTAGATGTAACATATGCAGAACGCGACCGGAGTTCTATAAGCCGCCGGAGCGAGTCACGTGACGCGATGTCTCCAGGGTTCAGCCGAGGTCGTGGCTGAGCTGCGACATGCAACAACACAACACAGCGACCACCGTCACTCTTGTACGCGACACAAGCATGTCGTCTTCTACGCGCTACGCCTACCCCTTTGCCGCCTCTCCCGACATCATTCGCTCGCATCAGAAAGACGCCTACTTCTCCGGTGTGCTTCTCGATCAGCTCTCGACGCTGTTGCGCAAGCTCTATGGCGCGCGCACGTCGCATACGTATGCGTCCGAGACGCGTGTAGCCGGAGAAGTCCTTTACCTCGGTCTGACGACGCTGATAGGGAACCGGACCCTGGGCGAGGAATACACAGACATTGTCCAGGTGGAAAGCGAAAGCGGACGCCTGCCGGCGCTGGGCCGCAGAGCTGGATACATACTCGGCTGCATCTTGGGGCCATATGTGCTCGGGAGGGCATTGCCGGCCTTGAGGCGGCGAGTGCGCGCAAAGCTCGAGGCGAATTTGCGGTGGCATGCACGACAACAGGCACGGGCACAGCATCAGGCACAGCAGAGTGGGAGCAAGACACAGATAGGGCGACCGTTGGGCATGCGCGTACAAAACTACCTACTCCGAAACCTCGACACCATTACATCGCCATCACCCGTGTACGCTCTCTCGTTGGCAACGTTTTACTTCTCCGGGAGCTACTACCACCTCTCAAAACGGATATGGGGGCTCCGGTACATCTTCACGCGCCAGGTGACCGAGGGCGACAATCGCGCAGGCTACGAAGTCCTGGGCGTATTGCTAGTCCTACAGATGGCTGTACAGGCTTACCTACACGTGCACAATACTGTCACCTCTTCGACAGCGGCAGTGGGTGGCGGCCACCCGCAAGGCACATCGGCCATTGTCGGTGGCGGCGCAGAAGTGTCTCTGGATCCCAATGCTTACAGCGCCAACAACGCGCTACTATTCGACGCAGCGTCGGCGGTGCCCATAGCGGCGCCGTCCGACGTGCAAAAGTGGACACAGACACCAGCGTTGGACATGGCAAGATACGAGCTGGAGGGGGAGGAAACAATGGGATGGATTGGCGGCGGCAATCGGAAATGTACGCTGTGCCTGGAAGAGATGAAGGATCCGAGTGTGACGACGTGTGGTCATGTCTTCTGTTGGACGTGTATCGGGGACTGGGCGCGGGAGAAGCCCGAATGCCCGCTTTGTAGGCAGACGTGTCTAGTGCAGCATGTGCTCCCGCTGAGGGGGTAGGCGGGTGGCGTGTACAATCACAATATCTTCTCGGCCTCATCTATCAGTCGCTCTACCTGGAATGCGCTGTCTCCGCGGGTGAACATGTCGAGAAGCTGGCTGCGGCCCTTGCCCTCTTCCGTCTGCACGTAGAACTTCTGCATGCACATGACGAGCCATCTGGCGTCGTCGACGGATACGCCCCTGTTCTTAGTGACCAAGCCCTGGCCCAGGACCAAGTTGTGGGTCTCGGCGAGCTCGTGGTGGAAGGTGACGGTGGTGTGGGGACTGGCGAACTCGCCCCTGAGCTTGAACTCTGCCAGTGTCGTGAACATGAGCGTGGTGGTATCGACGTGCGGGTGGGAGAACTGGAGATAGTGCAGCTCGGCGGCTTGCTGCGTCTGAGGCGGCTGCTGCGAGGCCGATGGGGCGTCGGCGGGTATCTCGCGGGGGACAGGGAGGACGAACGAGGGGTGCTGTTTGGCGCTGCGAAGGAGCTGGGAGAAGGTGGTGGCGGGGACAGCGAAGTGGATGCTCTGCGGGTTGGCAGCGTGGCGTAGGCGCCACAGGGCCTGGACTTCCTTGCTGGGGAGCGCCTGGACTTTGGCGAGGTCGAGGAACGACTTGAGCGTCTTGACGCCCGGCGGCGGGGCCGTAGGAGAGCCTGGCGCAGCGGGCGGCGGCGGCGGAGGTGAGGGCCAGGGAGTCTCGGGCGGCGGCGTCAGGGGCGCGGTTGCGCCGGGCACCATGGCCTGCTTGCGCAGCTCCTCGATCTTGTCCTTGTACTGCTCCTTGAGCTCGTCGAGGTCCTTGAGGCCCTGTTGGCGCGCCTTGTGCTCGAGCTTGTCCCGGTACTTGGCGAGGATGCGCTCTTGCGAGTCGTGCGTGGCGAGGAAGCGGACGTCGTGCACCTGCGCCCAGCGGCGCTGGACGGCACGCGGGCTGGCGAGCGGCTGGCGCAGGGCGTGACGCAGCGTGGGGAGAAGCATGGTGGGC